AGAATCACTATTAAGCCCCTAAACTTTAATTGATGCAGTTAAGCCTTTGAACTCTGGGATCAAAGCAATTAAGCCCTTCTTCTTATGCTATTAAGCCCCTAGACTTTAATTTTTAAAATAAATTGCTTAAGAAGAAGGCAAAATCATAAGTTAAGCCCTTGAACTAACCTCAGAATCACTATTAAGCCCCTAGACTTTAATTGATGCAGCTAAGCCCTTGAACTCTGAGATCAAAGCAATCAAGCCCTTCTTCTTACGCTATTAAGCCCCTAGACTTTAATTTTTAAAATAAATTGCTTAATAAGAAGGGCTTGATTGCTTTGATCCCAGAGTTCAAGGGCTTAACTACATCAATTAAAGTCTAGGGGCTTAATTTATGGTTTTGCCTAAAAAGAAGGGCTTAATTGCTTTGATCTCAGAGTTTAAGGACTTAACTGCATCAATTAAAGTCTAGGGGCTTAATAGCAATTATGGGGTTAGTTCAGGGGCTTAACTTACGGTTTTGCCTTTTTTACATTAGATGGGTTTACAACTCTACTTAGTTAGCATAACAGAAATTTAAAATTTAATTTTGATCATAAATTAACATTTTAAAATTAATAAATATTAATTTAATTAACTTTTATTGGTAAAATTTTTTCCTTTTCCTTTTTCTTTTTAACTTGATTGTGACGTAAAGGGCTGTTTGATAATTTGATTAGAGAATTAAATTTACCAAAAAAATTTTTACTTAGAAAGTAATTAAAAAATATTATACAAAAAATAATAAGTTTTATAATAAAATTTTGTTGAATTATTAATTTTTTTGTATTATATTAAGGAAGAAAAAATTAATAAAAAAAAAGTTATCAAATGTATTATATTAAGGAAGTTAAGAGAAAATTTTTTTATTTTAAAAAGTGTGAAAAAATTTTATAAAATAAAAGTTTAGGAAAATAAAAAAAGCTTGTAATCAAACGCCCCGAAATGTCTGCCAATTTTTCTTCAAGGAAAAGATGATTTCATTCTGAGGCTCCGTTTGAACTAGGCCTAATGGGCCATTTGGAGAAGTGCACACTTTCCCAGTCAAGTGTTGGGCTCACTCCCCCCCCCCCCTTTTTTTTTTTTTGGTGAAAACTCCCTTTGTTTTAACTTTTAGGTTAAATCCCCATTTTGGTCCCTGAAGTACAATAGTTCAAGGACCAAATTAGAGATTTCTTTAGTTTAAGGACCAAATCGGAGGTTCGTATAATAGTTTAGGGACCAAAATAAGAGTTTAACCTAACTTTTAACCATTGGGAAGAGTTATTGTTTTTAATTGGTAAAATAACTTATTTACTATTCAAAGAGTTTAAAATCAATTTAGTTTATTAATTGATATTTTTAAACACCTTAGTTAATTAGTTACTTTTTTTTTGTTTATTTTTAGTAGGTCTTCTTAACAATCTGTCAAGCAACTCAAATCATTTGGAATCTTTTTTGCATATCAATCATAAAAAAATCAATCTTTTTTTGCATATGAACTAAAACTTGAGGCTGGCACTGGGCCTGGGTGACTGCGTGGGGGGTTGAGTCGCCTGATCAAGTTCCGATCCGTTCATTATTGGAAGTTGCAATTTGGATTCTGTCTGCTGTGCTGCCACAAAATCAAAACATACACGCAAAATCTTATAACGAATCGGGATAATTTGCATTTTCCTGGCGTGCCCAGTGGTTCCACCGCAGTCTAAAGGGTTATCAGTGAAATGTATTTTGATCATTGGTTAGACTTTGTTAAAGAGTAAAATATTAATTTTTAA